GCGGATCTAAAAGGAGGGCTGAAGTCCGGAGTCTATGTATATGATTTTACGTACTCTACGATATTTTTGTGTTAAGTAACACGACCCAGACCCAAATATATAGCTTTTTGAGGTTGATTGTTCAATTTCTTTGCTTGTAAAAATATTTTGGAGTCAGAACTTCTTTTTCTGAGTTTGTGTGGACACCCCCCCCCCCCTTCGAAAAGTTTCTGTATTTGCATATTCAATGTTTGTTTTTATTAGATCTTTGTCGGTAAGACTCTAGTATGTCAGCTGATAGGAAGCGGAGATTAGGGAATTTTTCTTATGCTCAAATATTTGCAACAGCTGACAAACTTCTTTCAAAATTCTAATAGTTAATTACCGACTCCATATATTTGAGAAAAAAAGACAAAATTGAATATTGTACTTCGAAGTTAACATCATCGTATTAATTGAAAAAAAAATTATTGTTTTATTATGTGTCTTTCCTGATATACTTTATTTTATCAAATAAAATATACAACATGACTATATGAAGATAGTCATGTTGTATATTTTATTTAATAAAATAAAGTATATCAGGAAAGACACATGTATGAATCAGTGATTAAATATTACGTACTCATAAAGCAGTTCATGTCATCTTATTTACATTCGCTGGAATATTAGCCAAAAGCAATGATAGGAGCCGGCTTAAATAAACATTACCAGCCGTATAAATTGGGATTTTTGTTGTTGTAAAAAGTACTTTCGTAGCTATACATAAAAAAGAAATAATGTCAAGCTCTTTTATATGATAAGGTTTGAAAAGGGGGGGGGGGTCATTATCAGAGAAAAATGACAGCTAAAAACCTTTGATTGGCACCCACGAAAAGACAATTTTTAACTTCAAGTTTTGTTTTGGCCCTGCCCATCACTGACAACCACTTTCATACATTCGATTACTAATATTATGTTCACCTGAGTGCAAGCTAGGAGCAAATAAAATAGTTTTCCAAAACTATTTGTTGCAATTTGGAATTTCCCGATCAATTTTTAGACCACTGTGTAGGGAAAATAAATTCTTAATATCACCTGGAAGGTCAGTTGTTGCAAATATTTGAGCATAAGAAACGTTCTTGATCTCTTTCCCATATTAAAAGACATGCTAGTGTCAAAGATCTTATTAATACCAATATGCAGATTTAAGAACTTTTTCGGGGGGGGGGGGGGGGGAGTCCACACAAAGTCCAAAGAATTTTCCTCCAAACTATTTTGACAAGCAATAAAGTAAGCAACAAAGCTAAAAAAAACTTATTTCGTGAGTTTGTATGTGTGTGTGTGTGTGTGTGTGTGATTTTCGTGTTTTTTTTTCGGGGGGGGGGGGGGGGGATGTCGTGTAACTAAAATGGATATATCAATAAACACAATCTCCGGACTTCGACCCCCCCCCCCCCCTCCCTCTTTCTATGGATCTGCAGAAGTGAACATCGGTAAATTTCTACATGAAATTTAATAAAAGTCAAAATTTAAAATTCATGTTGGAAGCTTTTGTTGGAGATCAGACCAGCGTTTTCAACTTATAATTTTTGTATGGATACAAGCAAACCAAGGGAATCAAGTATTTGGATGAGTGTTACAAAGATGAGTTGTACAGGTTATTGTTCATATACTATCAAACGGCAGTCATTTAAATGGAAACTTTAAGATATGAATGCTCGATGTTTCAATTTGAAAGTAACTTATTGTGTGTCCCATATCCGTTTTAGTGTTGGTGTGCCCTACATCATTTCTGAAAACAAAATGATTTATACTTTTTTCTTGGATAATTAAAGCATGATAAACTATTTTAAAAATCAGGATTTTTAAAAAATATTAGTTCTAGTGTAAACGCGGAAGAATAAAATGTCTAGTACATCTGAACATGCGAATAATTGGTCGAATTTTAAAAATGTGTATATTTTTTCTCACTTGTTTTCAAACTGTGTCGAAGTGTTTGGAACAATAAGATTCTATCACGAGCAAACGTACATTGTCTATTGTAGTTGACGTTCTTTGGCATACTTTAGGCAGGATACTGATTTAATATCCATTCTTTATAAATGCAAAAATATCAACTTCTTACATCGAAGCGGAGCATTTGTCCTCCATTTTTGTGTGTCCTAATCCCGTCCGATGACGTAGATTCTCCGCCGTGTAAATAATGTTAAAATGTACGTGTTTATCAAATCAGTATTTTCAAAACGAAATACTAGTACTATACAAGTATAGCCTATAAATTGTCCTCCATTGCGGAATGTATACTTCTACCATAGGTATACTGAGTATTCTTATACAGCTTAATTAATTTATAAATCAAATACTAGTATGTGTGTGTACATCTACTATATATAAATGATATGTTTATAGTATAGTACATATGTACTATATTTTACTTCTATCAGTTTCGTCCACCATCAGATCTACATAGTACTCTTCGTGAAAGATATTAAATATATGGGTTATGAAAATCATGATTGTCCAAATGAAAAGAACCATAAAATCAACGAACTTCTAAATAAATAAAAATATACTTTACCATTTGATATGGTGCTCATTATCCAATTGTTCGTTTTTAATTCGCATTCATTTTATTGACATAATTGAATTGCAGAATTTTTTTTAAAATTATCAAACAATACCTACAATTGCTTTCCTCCATTTCCGAAAGAATGTGACATATCATTGCCAAAATATTTTAGAGTGAGATATTGGTTTAAATTAGGCCTACATCAATTTAGGCATCCAGCAAAATACGAGAACGAAAAACGGGGCAAGAAACCGTCGTAGTGAAAGGGAGACAACTAAACACTACAATCCCGCAAACCGAAGAGTAACAACTTTAGAGTAAACTTCCCACAATTTCCCCCCAAAATAAATGAATTTATTTTTCGGTTATGGTGTATGAATTTAATTGCATTTTTAGCTCTACTGGTCAGAGACCAGAAGAGCTTATGCGATAGTAATGCGTCCGGCGTCCGTCCGTCTGTCCGTCTGTCTGTCTAGCTGTCCGTCTGTCTGTAAACAATTTTTCAAAATGCTACTCCTCCTACAGTTTTGGTCTAATTTCAATATAACTTGGCACACAAGTAGACTACACTAAGATACATAATTCTGTGTATCGGTTTTTGATTTCGATGAACGGTGTTGCTGTGGTTACTAAAAATAGAAATTTCTGTGAAATTCTTTCAAAACGCTACTCCTCCTACAGTTTTGGTCTTATTTCAGTATAACTTGGCTCACTTTTTGACTACCCTATGATTCATCGTTCTGTATATCGGTTTTTGATTTCGATGAACGGTGTTGCCGTGGTTACTAAAAATATATATTTTTGTTTTTAACAAAAATATAAATTTCTGTCAAAATGCTACTCCTCCTACAGTTTTGGCCTGATTTCAGTATTACTTGACAAAAAAGTAGAATACACTAAGATACATAATTCTGTGTATCGGTTTTTGATTTTGATGAACGGTGTTGCCGTGGTTACTAAAAATAGAAATTTCTGTGAAATTCTTTCAAAATGCTACTCCTCCTACAGTTTTGGTTTGATTTCATTATAACTTGGCACACAATAATTCTGTGTATCGGTTTTTGATTTTGATGAACGGTGTTGCCTTGGTTACTAAAAATAGAAATATCTGTAAAATTGTTTCAAAATGCTACTCCTCCTACTGTTTTGGTCTGATTTCAATATAACTTGGCACATAAGTAGAATACACTAAGATACATAATTCTGTGTATCGAATTTTAATTTTGATGAACGGTGTTGCCGTGGTTACTAAAAATAGAAATGTCTGAAAAATTGTTTCAAAATGCTACTCCTCCTACAGTTTTGGTCTGATTTCAGTATAACTTGGCACAGTTTTGGTCTGATTTCAGTATAACTTGGCACACAAGTAGACTACACTAAGAACATAAAGAGACTTTATCAACGATCATTATTCTATTTAGTTTCAAATCCCAGCTGCTTAAGTACTTTTCTCTTCCTTTGCTATAAGTTCAAACCAGTAGAGCTTCAGTCTCGACAGAGACTTCTGGTTAGTATTTCAAAGACCATTCTCCGTAGTGGAATGACAATTTTAGTAATTGAAAAAAAAAAATATGCAGAGGTATTTTTAATATCATAGGTAGATCAAGAAGGAGATAGCGGAATCCCCCCCCCCCTTTTATGTTATGCCGAGAGAGAAAGAGACAGAGTCTGGAATTGATATTGGTACTCTAACTTACGATTTCAATATAAACATGGTACAAAACAGCCCAGTTGGTTGCTATTTCTCTTGCACTAGAGTTTCACAAATTCCTTTCCTCCATTTACCTTCAATATCCCTCCCTTTCAGTGTTTTTTTTAAATATTTTTGAGTGAACATGACAATGGGAGAAAATATTCTAATTATGATAAAGTAACATGGGAGGTATACATGTAATTTGATAACAGATTCAAATGATCTTTGTCTATATATGTACTGTTTTCGTATCATCTTTTGAAGGATTAAAGGGAATTAAAATACATGTAATTTTTCAAAAAAAAAAAAAAAAACTATAAAATAAATTTTTTTCTTCAAATTATAGAAAATTTTTTTTTAAAATCCTTGTATTTTTTGAAAGTGCTGAAAATCCATTCAAATTTAAAGCTACAGTTTGTTTTGCGTATACTTTGATGAATCAGACTGCACATGTATGGTAAGAAGTGTTAATTGGGGAAACGCTTTTATAAGCAACTTTGCCATCAACAGAGACCTATGACTGATTATGATTTGTTTCACTTTTTATCACTGATTGGAGAGAGGAACAACATGTATTATAACGTGGGTTCCCAATGATGCATCTTTAAATTGTTTCTACAATTTTGTTCAAATGAATTGCTTATATGTTCACAAAACATATCCTTGACCTAAGTTGAATCGCGAATTTTGTTTCTTTTTATAAGTTTTAACAAATACATGCATCTGAATGTCACAAGAGACATCTTTTACACTGCACAGATAAAAAGATAACCAAAATTTATTGATTGTTTTTATTTTTTTCATAATTATTCACACTCATTAACTGTGCACAATATACACTAAATGCATATAACAATATATGCATACAAACAAAAACATGTATTAAATGGTTATTTTTTCATAAACATTGGTGCTAACAAAAAAATGTCCCTAAAAAAGGGGAGTAACTCATCACCCTTCACAACATTCCCTAAATGGGGAACTTATAAATTTTCCATTCAATCTTTAGCAAAGGTGTAACTTGAAGAAGGTAAAAAATAAACAATCTACTGACATGATTACATACACTATGAAAAATTAACTGGAAAAAAAACAACAAAAGATTGTTCACTTGAGTATTTGTATGCTTATATTCTACGACAATTTCAAGGTAAATGAACCATCACTTGGTCAAAAAAATACAACTCCACTGACAATCATAGGCTAGAATTTGAAAATTCATTTCAAATAAAGTAGTTAAAATAGGGAAAAAAATATACCCAAACTATATTTTGAAACAATAACAAAAGGTTGAATGTATCACTAACTATAATAATTCAGTTCGTTAGTTCAAATATAGTTCCTAATTGTGCAGAGATAGAAATGCACGTGGATATATTTTTCCTATGTTATTGTCTGCATCCCTCATTTTACAGCACTCAGCCTATGTCTTCGAAAAGCTTGACATGGAAATCAACAAGACAAGGGGCATAAGGTGTGGGGAGGGGAGGGAGGGTGGGGTAAGGGCAAGACTGTTAATTATTTATATTCGATGTTAATTAATACATATAAATCCTACAACATTAAGTAATGAGTAAAATGCTCATCATTTGATGTGCAGGTTCGAAAAAGACCAAGTAATGTTTTGTTTCCTTATCTGGTATTTCAAGGTATGTTTCAACCATAACAGAAATAAACACAACTTTTAAATCTTACAGATGTTTTCCTTCAAATCCACTAGATTTTTTTTACCACTGACAACCTTGAAATAATGGTAGAATTTCAGCAAAAACCATTATGGTTCTGGAATTGTTTAACATTTCACTGTAGCACAATATAGCAATATTAAATATTAACCAGTACAAAAATGTACAACTTATTATAGACCTAGAGAGTAACATTTGTGTACATCAGAAACAAAGATTGTTATGTTTTATTGTTGAAAAATAAATTGTCAATGCACTTCTTGTGGGATAATATTAAAAAGAACCTGAAGGTTTTCTAATAATGAAACATCAATCAATACAAAATGCAAACTTACGAACATGTGTGAAAACCCTGCAATGAATGTAAAAGCTCTAATTAAAGCTGTGAAAAACAGTTTGTAATTGTAATTTAACAAGTGCTCAAATGAAGAAGGAGGAAAAAAGTCCAGTACTAACAAGTACATATGTACGTGAAAAGTGAAAAATGAAAATCTGAAACTGACTAACATGATAATTTAACAAACTCTAATTAAAAATCTCCACTGATTCGGGGCTTTAACGTAATAAAGGCATATATCAACAGACAGACATTCTCAGCAGAAAACAAACAAAAGGACATTCCCACTCAACACCCAGCAAATGAAAGACATCTGAAAAAATAATTATCACAAATTCCAAGAAAGTATACAAAATCATAGGTGCACTTTCAAAACATCTCTGTCTAGACTAGATTTTTTTTTAAAGAAAACATATCATTTGTCTTGAATAGTTTCAAATCCTTTTCAAAATTATTCATCTATAAGAAAAAAAAAACCAATCATCATGAAAACTTTAAGGGAAATATGACAATTCAACATATAATAACAGGGATACTTTTGAAGCTGAAGATAAATTATCTGCCTTAATAATTTATAAGTTCAGTCATTATAGAAGGTTCCTGTTGTTCAGAAATACATGTAACACAATTTCATTCAATGAAACCCAAGGGCTATAATAATTATACTGCCTACAGATATGTTTAATATAAACACTGGCATCCCCATATTTGGTCCAATATAGTAGTACAGAATTTTAGTATTAGCAAAAATTACACTTAGGCATTGTATAGATACAAATATTTTTTAAAAAATCAAACTAATATAGACCTCCCTTTGCAAAAATATTAACAACCAGTTACTTGATGGATATAATTCAAAAGAAAAATAAAAACTATAATGATAAGTAAACATGAATCAAATGCACTTCAACTATTTAAAAAAGGGAGAATACAATGCTAAAAAGTCATTCCAAATCAAACGGTAAATAACTCTATGTGTACCCCACTTAAGGTTTTCTAGACACTGAAAGAGCACACAAAAAAACAAGGAGTTCACAGCCACATTCCTAGGGTTCCTGAGTTAGATTTTGGGTAACTTAGGAGCACTGACAACTGGGTTGCTTTGTTCCAACAGCTTGCGTCCCTCCGTTTTATAATCAAAAGTGCAATCGTGAGACTCAGCATAGCGATGTGTAGCACAGAAGTTGTTTCCACACCTAGGAGGAAAAACATAATACATTAAAAAATTTGAAAAAAGAAGTGGATGAAAAAAAATGCTCAAAAAATGTAAAGGTATCTATTTTTCTTCAATCTGACTGTTAATATTCAAATTTAAGCCTCAAGTTTTTAAAAATAACAAATAAAGTAAAATCGTGTTAAACAGGAATGATATTAGTTGTATCTGATAATAAGATGTGTTTGAGAAATACTGATGACCCTTATGACAATCCTAGTTTCTAAAATGGTAGTCAAATGCTGGGGTCAAGGTCAAAAGGTGAAAAATGTCGGTACACAAGAAAAGGACATGTCAAGGACTTTTCTTGTGAAATATGAAAAACCCTTGCACCAACCATTCAGAAATTATGATCGTCAATTTTTTTCAAAAGTAGGTCATCCAAAGTAAAGGTCAAGAGGACAAAATGTTAAGGTCTTGTCACAAGAAAATTCTTATTGCTAACCTTTCAATAGTTATGGCAAAGGTTAAAGCAGGTCAAATGCCATGGTCAAGGAAAAAAGGTAAAAAATGTGGGTACACAAAAGTTGGTCTTGTCATAAGAGATGTACAAGTTAAAAAAGGTACAGCCAAGATTAATTTTGCAAGAGTGGTTCGAACTGCAAAATCAGGGTCAAGAGGTCATCAACATGTTGGTATCCAAAGAGGTCTTGTCACAAGGAAAACATGTGTGAAATACAAAACTTGAAAAGCCCAAATTCCTACCAAACAAAAGTTATCGGCAAGGTTGATTTTTTTTATTTTTGACAAACAAGGCAATGGACTGATCAAAAAACTATTTATCCCAGAATCTTCAATAATGGGAGGGGGGACATAAAAATCTATTCTGAAGAAAATGTTTTTTATTCAGATTCTTCAACAAGATATGTTAACAGTACATCATATATTTAAACTTTTTGATGCTTCTCTTTTAACTATGAAGGCAATGCATTTCAAACATGTCAAACATCAAAATTTGAACATAAAAATCTTAATTTGTCCATGAATTCCAAACATAACAGCTGGATACTTGAGCTAAAATAAATAGGTTTCCTCCTGGCCAAAGGCCAGTAAATGTAGAAGTTTGACCAGTTCCCTTTTTACACACACTGGTTTTATTGATTAGTAATTTTTCAATAGGCCTAATCTTTGCTGGTCAAACACTTCGAAGCAACATTCAAAAATAGGTAAAAAAAAAAGAAAATTATTTCAAACTCTGCAAATGTCTGTTTGTGGCTTAAATTTGATATAAAACATTTTTTTTCTTGAGACTGTTACCTGCATATATAGCTGGTGGCAAGGCCGGTTTTCTTGCCACAGACAAAGCACCGTTTGGCAGCCTTCTTTTTGGACTTGACAGGGGGCAGTCTATGTGAAGGGGAGAGCATCCTTCCATCGCGACTGTTGACCCTCTGTAGATGGGCAGACTGAAAGTTAAACAAAAAAATTTACTTAAATCCTGTACTTCTGGAAATCTGACTCTCTGTTATACCGTATAAGCAGAATTTTTAGCGAGGATTTAATTTTGGCATTATTAGCGAGCATGTTGAGATTGCTAAAATTGAATATCCCTAAAAATTAATTGTGTTTTATTTGTAATGGCTTCTCTGGTGAGCTTTTGAATATCGCTAAAATTACTTCTTGCTAAAAATAAAATACCCAATATTAAGGCCAAATCGCTAAATTTGCGTCTCGCTAAAATTTCCACTTATACGGTAACATTTAATTTTTTTTTAAACCTTTTTATTGAGAAACAGCTCATAAAACAGAATATATATAAGAAAAGGTATTCTCCAATTCACTTATACATATAATTTTGAAGCAATACCTTTACAGTGTGCATTAATATCACAGAGAAAAGAATAACAATATTAAGAAAAGAATAACAATATTATACATGTACTAGTTTTAAGCCTAATAATTTTTTTTTATACCTAGCCAACCAACCTTAAATTTTTGTTCTGACCCCTATGCTTATTTTTTTTTTTGTGGACATATAAATCTTGAAATTGCATGTCTGTACATTTTCTTTTGAACATTAGGAACATTCCTCTCGGTATGACTATGGGAGAAACTGTTGGCCAGGTGGGAGAAAAATTTTATGCAAGAAAAGTAGTGATTTTTAAATTTCAATTTAATGTTTAAGAAAAATTGAAAAATAAAAATATAACTCTACCTACTGACCCCCTTTTTTATAAGCTTGTTATAGTAGCCAAAGCTTTTTTTCATAGGCCAAAACAAATAACTCAACTTTTGTCATTACAATGTATAGAAAACTATCCCAAATAGAACTATTTACAGTATTTCAAGCAGCAAGCTGTATTTTACAAATTGATACACAGACAGTAGATCTATTGGTCATTCTTTTGGAAATATTCTGCAGTGTTTACAACTTTTTCTTCAGACAGGCACCTACATGTACTAAATATTTATTACAGTAATTTCTTGATGCACTTCAACAAAACTCAAGTTAAAGACCTACCAACAATCGTTCCTCTGGGGAAATAATCCTTCCTTCCTGACTTGTGCTCCCAAGGGCATAATTTCCAAGACGGGATTTACTTCCGCTTGGCACAAAGTTGCCGATACGAGAAGATCCTATTTTTTCTAGGGATGCCTGCCTGAGGAGCCCTGACATTGCCCGAGCCTCACTGGTACTCAGACTTTCCAGAGTGAACTCTTTCCTCCGTTCCAATCCCTTGAAACGTGAGGAGGTGGTAGGTCTCCCTAGTGATTCTTGGAGACTCTCTAAAGTCAAGTCTTTATTGGATGCCTGGGGTCGGCCCAGGACCTCCTTAATGTTTTCTATGGTGAGATCCCCTTTCAGTTTTTGTTTTGTTTTGGAAGAAGAAGAAGGAGGAGGTTGTAGAGTATCCTTGTAATTTTCTAGATTCACATCTTTCTTTTTCGTGACAGTTTCCTGCAGACTGCTCAATCTGTGTAGGTCTCTCACTTTGGATGATGAAGGTGTACAAGTGTTAGAGCTTATAAAATCCGATTTAATGTTCTCACTATCCTCCCCCTCCCAGGATTTGACTCCCCCCTCCCTCCACTCGGTGGCGAGCTGTGACTCGTGCACCAGGCTACTATCCTCCTTGACACTGGACAGGATCCCTAATCGGCTAGCACTAAGTTCTGTATTCTCGGCCATCATCTGGCGACTCCTACTACGGGTTGATTTGGCACTATGGCTTTTATTGTGTTCGGAATTGGTTTCAAGTTCGTTATAATTTAACAAACCACTTCCTATGTTATGGTTGAGGCTAGCAGCCATGTTTTGACCCATAACACCACCAGAGTTCATATCATCTTTGTTGCTGATTTCTATGGTAGCAGTTTGCTCCCCTTGGGAGTATGATGAATGATGGCCAACAGGTGGCAGACAGAAGTTTCTGTTGAGGTTGTGAGATAGGGTTCTCCCGGAGCCCGGGAGCTGTCGACGTCTAGCACCACGGCTACTACTGGAATGTTCTGAAGAGGGCGGACGAGGAATCTTTTTCTTAGGCTGAAATGTATTCAAATAATAAGTACATATTCATGTAAAAAGAGAATTTTCTTGTGACATATTTATCTGTTTCAGTTATTTCCCTTAGTGGTCAAACTAGTGAATTTACCTTTTTGAGCAACCACTTTCAAACTTGTATTGTAGAAATATAGTCTTTATAAGCCATAATTATTTTAGTATTAATTTGTAAGAAAACTGCATTATTTTTACCTGGTTGCCCAGTATGACAAGTTTACATTTCTTGAAAAATAAAGGAATATGGTCATGATTGCCTCCAATATAGCAATCAAAATCAATGAGAAAAAATCATGTCTATCAAAAAACTACGCATATCTGATACATAATAATGCTTTTTTGACAATAACAGTTTATGTTATCATACAAAAGGGAACTGAACAAACCTTTTTAGTGAGAGTTAATTTCTCCATTTTGCCTCTAAGCTGCTTCATTTTCTCCTTGAGTTGTTCGTTTTCCTCAAGTTTCTCCTTGGGAGGCGCCTCTTCCTCCTCCTCCTGGTCATCAAAATTATACATCGAGGCCCCACTACAAGATACACAGTAAACATTAACCTTCATTTTAAAGAAAAATTTTTTTAATTACATTAATATTATTAGGTACACAGAGGCCGCATTACAAATTAACGTCAAAAAAATTACCACTCCTTCAAAAAATGTAATTATAAATAAAAAATCACACAATATTTTTTAGTATATTGAGGTCCCACTACAAGGAAATGTCAAAACACTACCCTTCAGTAAAAAATAAAAACATTAACCTTAAGAATTTTGTTTTAATTACATTAAAACTACTAAGTACACAGAGGCCCCACTACAAGGAAACCTAAAAAACACTACCCTTCAGTTTCAAAAGAATATTCAAACAAAATTTCAAAGTGACGTTTGGAATTTGTATCTATTGGAAAAAATAAACATCAAATAATAGAATGAATGTATTTATACTGGGTAATCATGTCGATAAATAACATCAAACTAGGATTTTCCATAAAAATGCAAGGACATGTTTAATGTCAAAGCAGTGAATTGTTTTTATGAAAGATATTAGTTATCATCTCAATTTACTGTATTCTTGGTTATTAAATTTATTCTTAATAATTCAAAAATATTAATTTCTTTTCAGACATTTCTCTTTTTTAATTCAAACACTTCTAAAGGCCAAAATAATTGTCAAGTTTGGCTAGGGATAAAAATACAGCACTATTGAACAGACATAAAATGCATCTTCATATGTATCTACTTCAGAAAAATTTTGCATTTATCAGGAAAAAATTTATGTCATTTCCTTTACAGAAAACTTTAAAATAGCAACATACATATTGACTTTTTTCACCAGCATTGGTACAGCTCCCTGTGGCAATCTCATTTTTTATTTTTTTCTAATCCTAAGACGTGATTTCTATCTCAGCCACCAAAAATTAAAATTCAATAACACGGCCCGAGTGAAATCACTTTCCTACATCAAACTGAATTAATGTCCCCAACAGACATATAAGCATCATTTTGAAGAAGAATCATTTCCTTGCAACTATCATCCTTCACGAAATTCCTAATCGGTAGTGAGCTTTAAATCCTTTCATGAAGACGCCAAAAAACAACATTGAAAATAAGCCCATCTTGGCTAGTTTAACGACCTACATTGGTTGGCTAATTTAAATGATTTGGCTGTCAATCTTTCTACCTGAGCCCATACCCGTAAATCTGTGTGTGGGATCATTCGAATCACACTCGTGGCTTTGTTTGTGTCCCTGGTATTGTGCGTGCTTTAGTGTCACTGCCAACATGTGTGTATGAATTGAATGGCAGTTTTTTATGTAAAATAAGTGTCTGCTGTCAGAATAAAAGTACTATATTTTGCTCCCGCTAAAAATTACACTAAATTAAAACATGTATAATTGGAGAAATGAAAATTTTGAATGAACTAAAAGCTACCGTGCCTGTCTCTCTTTCTATAATTTTATCTACACACTGCTTTAGGCTAGTACAAAGATAAAATGATAAACTAAAACTGATGTAATAACTCTGGATATCTTTTACTTCATTTTCTTGCTTCCTTAATCACACTAAGGAATACATTGAACTTTCAGGACGAGGAGGATTTTAACAAATGGCATAGACATATTAGTGCAGGTTTACTTCTGAAGATTTCCTAATTAAGATATATACAATTTCTCTTATCAAGGCCTTTTTACATATTTTATATATTTGTTCAGCGTAAGTGATAAAAGAAATGCCAATAATTGATAACAACAAAGTAAAACTGTGTCACTGCTGGGTCTGAAATCAATATCACTGTTTTATGATGCTTCTATATTGATACCTTTTCTTTTATCTATAGATTCTACAGTTTACTCAAAACTATGGACAGTGTACATTCAGTTTCATGAAAAAAAAAAAAGAACATGGTCATTTTCAGTTGGAGCAAGTAACTTGCACAGACTGAGAGGAGAGAAAATGTAGATTCTATATTTGTATAATGCCAGATTTATAAGACTACTCTATAATACATTCACAACAAATATCAATCTACATAAACCAGAAAATAAAAGCCTCATAATTATTTGTTATAATTAGGAAATGTTACATGTTTTAGTTATTTTAAGTACACATCCTTTTCATTTCAAACAAACTGAAGTGCAATATTCAATACACCAGTCCTCGGTCCATAAGGCATATAATTTATCATCCCTTGACTACATGATTAACATGAATCTTACAATCCTATAAATCTACACTGAAACAATAGTATCATCTGTGTGGGGTCTCATGATCTTTTCAACATTTGAGATTAAATCTGTAACAAATTTTACAGATCTAGATCACTAAAGTACTAGGGGATTCAAATACTGTAGTGTAAACCAACTTTTATTCGCTTGTGAGAAATTTTCGCGAAGTTCGCGAGAGCCTCTTCATCGCGAATATTTCTCGCCGCGAACTGGTTCTTAAAGTCTATGTGTCTATTAAAAAGAAACCTAAATAGGCTTTATCACGAAAATTAATCGTCGCGACTGGTGTACCCCTGGCAAATCGAGAAATAAAGTTGTTGCGAATAAAAGTTGGTTTACAGTATATTTATCAATACTGCAGTAACTAATCTTTCTAGACCTGTTTAACTTCAGTGCAAAAATTATATACATAAACATACTCTAGACTTTGTCTAGAAAATTTTCCTTAAAAAGTCCACTTATTAACAAATAGGGTCAATGTATGATACCAAGTAGAGAGTAGTTAGTTAGTATTCAATTGGGTACATGTGTTATTTATAAAAAAATCTTTACACATATCTAAAGCTTGATTCTCAGATTTAAAAGGTATAAGCGCTAACCACTAATCTCACCACAAAATAATAGATAGAAAAAAAAAACAACCTATCTATAAGATATAAATCTATCATGATTCACAGAATTTTTCAGAAAATGTTCAGCAAAAAAAACACAATGTAGATATGTGCTCAGAGATAAACCTTCACAAATCTCTCTTATTCACTCAATAAATTATTACCTCAGTGATTCAGAGAGCGGAGTAAGGGTTCCGTCCCCACGATCTACTACGCGGAAAAAATTCAACTGGTCCCCTTCTCTAAACACCAGTAGAGTGACCTGCCGATTGCCTGGTATTTTCTCCCAGATTTCGTCTCGATTTGCCTCCACATATTCTGCCATTTCTCTCAGGGTTGGGTCTTCCATTGGAACTAAAACATGAAGCAAGGACTATCTCAAGACTGTTTGCAAACAGGGGCAGGTATACACGAGGGATAATATATACATGAACAGTTACCTGCAATAATTGAGGGAATCTGTTTGAAAAATTATATAACTTAATACTGGACTTTCTTAGCTCAAATAGATTTTTGACAAAACATGAAATTCACATGTTTTATTTTTGTTAACCTAAATTAAAAGATGTTGACTTTGTATGATTTTATATTTGAAAACAAAAGAAACATGCCAACTGCCTGATCAAAACTATTGAGTAATTGTACAAAGTAGAAAGATTTTTGATGTGTAAAAGAATACAAATTTTACATGAAAAGATCTGAACTCTGCTAAATACATTTTCCTATGGTCCACCCATGGCGTGATACAGAACTCTAAATTAACATTTTCTTATGGTCCACCGATGGTGAGATACTGAACTCTACCTGTATGTTTAACACAGAATATATAATATTGACATTTAATAAATATAATCCCTATCAATTTGATGAAATTAATCTGTTTTTTAATACGAGAGTTATATTCTATACAATTTCCTATATATGTATAATCTGCGGCATGCTTACTTCTTCTGGTATTAATTGGACCGCCCCGCATGGCCAGGACCAGCTTCAGGGTGGCGCCGTCGTGGATGCTGTAGTCGTGGAGACAATAATCGTCCTCTAGCTCCATGGCCTGCCAGATTAAATGCTGCTGTCCAATGGGAATCCCTGGAAGAAAGAGAATTAAAGATATAACTAGGTAGAGATGAATAAAGTATGCAAGGATACACTATCAAATAAAAAAAATTATCATTATGTTATATCATAAAAGAATATTCAATGTGACCAATTGGCAAATGAAGATTTTATCTTGAATATATTTTCTTTAATCACCTTCTTGTGTTATCAAAGATTTGTGCACTGTCATTTAAAAATAAACATGACATTTACTTCAATCAAACTTCCTTTTTTATTTACATTGAATGCATTTTTTAACATGTTATTATAATTGTGTTTTATCATGAACATAATTTCAGAAACCAAATTTAGAATCTATCAGTAAAGAGGGATGCTATTTATGGATGTTTTTTATTTATTTCTGTATCCTGTGCTTTGGATAATAAAAGGTGTCAGGCAAGAATGGGGCAATATCCTCCTGTTTGATGACTTGTGTTGAACATGCATTAAAACACAAGACATGAAGTACAAAATATGTGTTATCCTTTTATCAAACTCTTCAGTGAATTTGATAGATAAGTTTTGGCTGAATCATTGGCCACTTTTGAAAATGTTCATATGTATTATCATACAACAATATGTCTAGGAATTCCATCCATTCTACCCAAAATCAGCTAAATTTAATGTGGATTAAGGAGTCAATAAATTCAGTATTATTTGTTGGACCACAATTAACGTTGTTAAATTGGAGTATAAAAATATATATACCACTGTCAAATCACCAAAAAATTTTAGTACTGCCTTTATTAAATGGTACTCACATTTACCAAGGAATTTGTAAAATTGAAGTGTTTGAGAAAGCCTTTATCAGATGTTTATAATGAAAACATCCAAGGAGTCTGAGCAGCTAACTCTTTCTTATAATAAAAATATTTAAATAAATAATTTCTATGTTTACTTATCCAAACACATTTTGATATCAAGTTCCCCATATCATACAGAAAAATATTATGAAAAGTGGTACATTCAAATATGTATTGTGATTACATTCTTTGCATATCTTGATATACAACACTTCTTGTTCCACCTTTACATTTTGATATGTGTACATAAGCTTAAATAACCCTAAGATTTAATAAGATTAAATTAACCCACAACACTTAATCCATGTCGAGTCTTTACTGCAAATCTTGTCATTTAATTGCCACATGACACATTAGTGAGAAACAAATGATGTCATAGTTGATTACTGATGATAGTGAAGTTTATCTTTACTTAAGGGGGGACCTATGTCGTTCTACGTCAAGGCAGCGTTATGTGACGTCACAATAGCGACGTTTGTTTTACCTGTTGACTTTTGCAGCTGTGATATAGGCATACCATTGTAATAATAATCAATAACGTACACCATTTACAAAAAGGAAAATTTATTCAATATTAATACCAGATTTATTTGATTTAGGAAGTTTGTTAATATTAGAATTCTCTTCTTTTGGTTGATAATTCATAGCGATTTCAGTTGTAAAGAAATACTTCGATGATATGCTGATATATAAGTGCAAAAGATAAGAAAAAATGCAGCAAAGAAAGCAGCTTAAATCAGGGAAATATGTATTAATTGTATTTTCTGATAAAACTAAGAAAAATTAAAAAATGTACTTATACCTATATTTGCTTATTGATTTATAATGAATGTAGATTTCACTGTATAAAGTCATTCCTATGTTCTAATAGGTGTTGGATGTTTACGGGATAATGGGGGGGGGGGATAATGATTGGAATGAAAAAGAAAAGAATTAATCTGTTTCTAATCAAAACAAAATACTCGTTTTTCGCAAAATATTTTCATATTAAGATGTTTGTCAGTGCTTACTTGCCCTTATTTAGTGCAGAAAGGTCAATATTTATGGCACAAGAGTACGAAAATACAAGAAAACGTCATATTTCTCGTTTGTTTTATCATAAAGGTATACTTTTTTCTTTGTTAAAATAAAGAGATGAATCATTTCTTTCAACAAATATGAATTACAACATTTTCACACAAAGACTTTTTAAGATATTACCTGTTATGCATGTCGGAATTGTAAAAAATACGACAAGAAAAACGGGGTGATACTTACATTGTGCTCCATTATAATTTTTCATACGAGATGAATTACAAGAATTTGCCTTCATTTTAAAGAAACAAGTCATATAAATTAAATACCTGTTGATTTTGATATGATTTGATATTTTTTGGCTCTTTTTAGCGCATATTTTGCGTAGAATAATAATGTCTGAAAATAATCTATTTTTAGCATTTCACACTGTTTTTGCACGTGCTCCTGTGTAAAAATAAGCATATAAAGGTATTGTTTTTAATACCTAAAAATTAAGAGCATGTGGTCAGGAAAGAAATATCAAAGTTTTGAAAATTTCACACAAAGACTTTTCGGATATAGGTCCCCCCTTAAATGTGGTTATGTGTCAACGAAACTTGTATACCATATCAAAGTAACCCCCTCCATAGACATGATAATAATCAAACAACAACAAAAATTAATGATATTAACAATATATACACATCAATTTTGTTTATTTTCGTTTTTGTTTTAGTTTTAAACAAAGGGTACAACAAAATCTAGTGATAAAAAGGTTGTCCCTATATATAGGCCTAATCTTGCAACTTTGTGTATTCCATAACAAAGGGTCAAGGCCAATTAACAATGGGGGACTGCAGGGTCTAACTTGGCCCTCAGTTTACTTATACCCCAATTATTGATAAAATCCTTTGTGTGTACATGGTCCATTTCTTTCATCCTGTTGACACATTTAGTGACAATAAAGCCAAATGGAGGCAATTCAGACATTATATATATATCGATATATAGCTTCAAAAGCACACTCATTTTTACCTTCAAGTCTTTGAATCTTTGCCTTTACGGACATAATGGTTTCAAAAGGTGAAACTCGCAACTCAAAAAAGGTTCCCGTTAATGTTTCAATGTACAGTTCCATTTTGATGAATGTTTGACTGGAGGACAAAACTATGGTTCACTGCAGTTTCATGCCCTCATAAAGCAAAACATTATTTTTTGTCAACAAAATCTCAAGTAATTGCCATTTTTATCCATTAGTTGCCTTTTCTTAACCTCCTGCACTTCAGCGCCCAGGATGTCGTTGTTTATTTCATCACAGAACAAAGCATCGTCACTCCCATTACACTCATAAACACAGTCTATGATTCACAAAGATGGTGGCAAAATTTTCTACACAGGAATTCGAGGTCTACTGAAGTGCCCGTATGTTGTAGTTACTGACAACAATTTATCTTGTGACGACATTTTTTGAATGCTGGACAACTCGCCCCCAAGACAGGTCGCACAACTTTCAGGACAACTCGCCCCCAATTTAGGACAACTGCCCCCACTCAAGACAACTCGCCCCCAGTTTAAGAAACCAGCGAATATTATATATTTTACAGATATTTGATATGAAATTGTTTCTAGAAAGTTAAAATAAACAACTGAAAATAAATTTTCTCATTCTGTTGAAAACAAAACAGAAATACAATGTATTTATAATTTAAACACTATCGTTATTGTCGCTACTGGCATTTTTTATTTACATCTTCTCTAAATTCGCATATTTATTTTGCACTTTCATCACAAAAACTAAATAAATGTAATTTTCAGAGCTTGCATGCAAAAATTCTCCATCACATTGAAACTGCATTAGAACTTGGATACGACACGCCAATTTTTTAAAAAATAAATACATGTACTATGTGTAATTTCGGAGCTTGCATGTACTAATTTGAATTAGTTATCACTTTGAAATATCAAAATTAGTTGTTAGCTTGGGTATGTCATTAAATTTTCTGTCTGATGTTTCAATTAAAATTAAGTAATTATCATTATCATCAGTACCCTAACACTGTCAGTTAGACATTAATTTCGTCATTAAATAATTTACATGTTTTAGCACCGAAGAAAATATGCTTCATTAAATTAGAATCTTTTATAAATAAAAATTTTGAAAATAGGAAAAATCAAATAAAATATAAATAAATAAACTAATGCATTTATTAACTCTATTTCCTAAGTATAAATTAAAGAAAGCATGGATAAATCTTTGATGCAAACACAGTGTTTTATGCAAAAAAATTATGTAAATGCATGATGAAAAAAATAAATAAGTTTAACCTATAGCTGTAAGTATTGATTATAATTTAATTTTGCATTTAAAATATACATTATTGAATAACACTTGTTTGTTTCCTTGCAATTTTAAAGAAAAAAATAATCGGGGCGAGTTGTCTTGAGTGGGGGCGAGTTGTCAAATTGGGGGCAATGTTGGGGGCGACTTGTCTTGGGGGCGAGTTGTCCTGATTCCCATTTTTTTGTGTAAACACATACACAATTTCCGATGACATCACTAATTTATGGCTAAGCAAGTTCCCTTTCATCTACAGAAACAATTCATATTTCAGCCATATGGCAATGTTACAGGTAATGATTATGTTGCTCAAATGTTTAATCCTTTTTTTATCATTAAATTCAGCAAATATATGATACATGACAGGACACCTGAAAAGAAGAAAGCAATATAGGTCAAAGGGTTATTGGATAGAGATAATTCGAACGATGTAAACAAGACAACCAAATTTTATTTTTTGGACGATGATTCTGTATTCATGATAAACATGATATATAGAAAGGTGAAGTACAAAGAATATCCAACGGTTTTACAGTTATTTCGTCATGGAAAACAAATTTGATATCAGATTTATACTGTAACGAAAAGTCCATTTCCAAGCAATTGATTTGATCACGATTTTGACTTTTCCAAGTTACTTGATCAGTTGTTGATGTCTCTGGTTTAACAACCTATTGATATGCATATATTGCTCTCTCAGGTAGCCTGATTTCGATGATAAGCTGTCTCAACTCTCAATCATAGGCCTTCACAGTTTTAGGATCGATGATTTACGAATTCATGCAGACATACCTAGAAAAACATGTAATATACATCATCGTGAAATCAAGTGTCTATATGGTCTAAACAGTAACGGGTTTGTTCGCCCGATCTACCTGTTCGTGGGAGTCCGTTCGCGCAGTGTCTGTTCGCCCGAAGTATTTTTTGCCCAATATCTTGTTCGCCCTAATTTTTATGCATGGTTCGCCCAATACTTACGAGTATATAAACTCATATGAATTAAAAAATAATATATATCATATTTTCTATTTATTTCCTTTACGAACTTGGGATATTTTTTCTCAAATTCTGATACGAGGAACAATGTTTATATTTAATCTTAATTAATTTTTGATTTGATTCTAATGTTTTTTGAATGACTTAGTGTTTGCACTATAGTTAATTAGATGATTAATATGATTAATATCAATGTTAATTAGGGGGATACATCCGTGTTATTTTTACGAATTGCGCTATGTTTTGAAAACAATTAAAGGACTGAGACGTTAATAGGTCCATTATAGAACTGAACAGCGGATGTTGAAGGTTTTACCTTTGAAGAATCTCCCTTTGATCTCAAAAAATGATTTATAAGAAGATGGAAGATGAAAAATGAAAACATGTATTTTAACATTTTGGAATTTCCAAACAGGTCTGTCAGGTCTTTGATAGGTCATGTATTTAGTGTGACCATTTGTGACAATATGCATAACGTCTGACAGTCTGTTTTATTTCGATTGTACCAAAAATTTGGAAAGAAATTCGTTAGATTTTATTCTACATTAAATAAGGGTGAACGGACTCTGTGCGAACAAGTTTTAGGGTGAGCGGACTCTGGGCGAACGGGAAATCGGGCGAACAATTTTTAGGGCGAACGAACATGGAACCGGTCTAAAACCTAGAAGAATAATAATTAATATGTTTATATTGTGGTTTGATCACTGTGTAAAAAGACAGCTAGCTGTGTCAATGAACAAAAACATGACCATTGTATGCTTATGTGATAAGTTCAGCATTTTGTAACTTTTAAACTTCATCATTATACTTTATATAAATGTGAAATTAAACTCTTGATCAAAGGTCAAGCACATGCAGTTGCAGATTTTTTAGAAGAATCTCATAAATAAAGGCCAGGGTCAAATGGTCATGGTGATTAATATTATATTGTTAACTATAACAAGGACATATTTAGCTCACCTGTCCCGAAGGCTCAAGTGAGCTTTTCTGATCACATTTTGTCCGTCGTCTGTCTGTCTGTCTAGCTGTCTGTCCGTCCGTCCATCTGTAAACTTTTCACATGTTTGACTTCTTCTCAAGAACCGATGGGCCAATTTTAACCAAACTTGGTACAAAGCATTGTTGGGTAAAGGGGAGTTTAAATTGTAAAACTGAAGGGCCAAGTCCCCTCACAAGGGGGAGATAATCAAGAAAAGACAAAAATAGGGTGGGGTCATTAAAAAATCTTCTCAAGAACCACTGGGCATGAAAAGCTGAAACTTGTGTGAAAGAATCCTGGGCTAGTATTGATTCTAAATTGTTCAAATCATGACCCCTGGTGTAAGGTGAGGCCACAATTTGGAATCCTAATTTTATATCGAACTATATAGAGAAAAAAAAAATTAAAATCTTCTTCTTAATATCTACTGGGCAGAAAAGCTGAAACTTAAGTGAAAACATCCTGGGGTAGTATGGATTTTAAATTGTCCAATTTTTTAACTGTGGGGTAAGTGGGGTTACAGTAGTTATTACAAGGGGGGAATCAGGTAAAGAACAGCATGGTCAAACCTACTGAGGTGAGCGATGTGGCCCATGGGCCTCTTGTTTAATATACACATCAATGAACAATTGAATAAAAACATACTTTAAGATATGAGGCTATTCAAAGGTCAAGGTTAAAATGATTCATTTTAATTATAACAAGGATATTTTTAATATATACATCAATGAATATTTGTATGAAGAACATATCTATAGATTATGAGGTTATTTACAGGTCAAGGTCAAAATGATTCATTTCTCATGAACCCACTTCACTTAAAATGATGATTGGTACATTCCAATTAATGAAGATTCATAATTAAAATGGGCCCTTTAGATTCCAAGGTCATTTGCTCAAAGGTCAAAGTTAAAAGGTCAAGAATATTGATAAGTTTAATGCAGGGTCTGTTATGAGTTTGTCAGTTTTCTATAGTGTTATTTTTTTTTAAAATAAATGAACGAAAAACTAAACAACATAAAATAGAGGACACAATAAGTTCTGATGGCATTTAATTCAAACTACTAAAAATTTGATTTATTTATAAAGAATCTTTGTTTAATGAATTTGAGATCCCAGGAAAATGTAGAAAGAATGCAAAAAGAAACAATTATAAACAATGAATAAAATAACAAGCAGCTGCGATGATAAAAAGTTAAATTTGCTTTTATTTCATAAGTAATGTAAGTGGGCAGAGGAAAACACTGTGGTTTCTCTGGCTTAACATCATTTATAAGTCCATAATGCATAAGAAGATGTCCTACATGTATTACCACTGTTTTTAAATCAGCACCTTCGTCAATGAGTCACTAATTGAATTATTATTGTTGAAGGGGGGAAATTGTTAAGAATTTTGATATTTAAATGTCAAAAAGGGCACCAATAAGTGATCTGCTCTTAGTGTACTCCAACATACTGTAGAGATACCAAAGGAATTGTAACCAAGGCTCTTTCTTGTAGGAGTAGCTTTAAACACTGAATAAGGAGACTGTTATTCAGATAAACATGAAGTTGGATAGCTTAAATTTTAACTCTTATATCTAATAGATTTTGATGCATGTTGCTTTTTAGCTAACATGAGCTAAAAGCTCATTTCTCGTGAGCTTTTCTAATCATCTTGTGTCCATTTGTCTGTTTGTTTGTCTGTAAACTTTTCACATTTTCAATTTCTTCCCAAGAACCACAGGGTCAATTTTAACCCAAATTGGTAGCTTTGGTACAAAGCATTTCTGAAAGAAATTGTAAGGTTTTAAAAAAGAAAGGCCAAGTCCCCTTCCAAGTGAAGACATTCAAGAAAATGCAAAAATACAGTGGTGTAATTAAATAATCTTCTTCTCAAGAACCACTGGGCCAGAAAAGCTAAAACTTATGTGGAAGCTTAATTCCCAAGGTAGTGTAAAATCTAAATTGTTCAAATCTTTGGGCAGTTGGCCACGGGCCACGGGGGGTAGTATGGGGTCACAATAAGAAATCAAAGTTTTATTAGAAATATATTAAAAGGAAAATTCTTTTAAAATCCTCTTCTCAAGAATCTCTGGGTCAGAAAAGCTGAAACTTATGTGGAAGCTTCCT